CTGGCTAAGTGTCTTTTTGGTGGTACAAAACGTCAGGTTAATTTCAATATTGTAACTTTTTCAGTGCTTGTGAAAAAAGTTGTTATACAAATTTTTTGTACCCCCTTTATATGAAAGATCCTATCTTTTTTTCGATGAGGAATCACCTCCTCAAATGTTTTACACTTATTTAGTTACACCCTGTATATTAGATTTCTGCATAAACACGGTCCTTCAATAAAATATAATATACTGATATATTAGTTAGTCCTTAGCTCGCACAAGTTTCTCAACTTCTGAGAGTTGTCGTTCGTATGGTGACGACAGCTGATTAACGGAAAAACAGATTTTAAACATTGAATATTCTTGAAAACAATCATTGGTGAATGATTCGAATTGATTTGATAAAATCACTATGACATTTCAATTTGTTCCTCATATTTCTATAATTTTCATATCGATATTTGTCAATTTTTCTTAAAGAAATATGTGTTGTTTTTCTCCTCCTTGTTCAGGAAAACAAATTCTAACAAATTTGGATAATATTTTTTCTCTAACACATTATAAATGGTCACACTGTACTATTTTTATGAAACTCATCCCAGCACGAACAGACAATAAGTAAATGTTTGATATTATGATCCATCGAGTTCAAATATATTATGTTTTAATCACTCCACTCAGATAGACATTGTAAACTTTTGATTAATCATCTCAAAAAGTAGAAGCAAATCGTTTTTGTTTAAATCAAAATCATCTTACAAAGTCTACTTGAATTGTCCAAAAACATTGTACGTACCTTTTCAATGAATCAACCTTAACGTCACTTCAAAACTGTTCTTTTGTTTTGTGGATTCGTAGTATATCAAAGTTGTTTATAACAACATTAGTGTTGCTCCTAATAGTAATAACAGTTACATACTGCATTGGTAATTTATCGGTATTTCAATCAGAGTAATGATTTTCAAAATGAAAATGGATTCGATATGATTTAGTTCCAACTATAGAAGATATCTATTTCATTTTCATACGAAATATAGTTGAAATATAATATGATACATTAACTAATAAAATATCTACCTCCTTCATGTACAGTGTGACCCCCGTATCTTCCGTAATTATTGGAGTAGGTCTCTATTAATTTTAGGATCGCTAAATATACCAAGTACGAGTCTAAATTTTGTCTAGGGTTGATCTGAATGACATATACTGCTCGCCAGGGGCGATAATATCAGCCAATTTTGCGAAAAATTGTTTTAGGGGACAATACTCAAAATACCAACTAAATTTTTCTGAAAAATTGTCGGTTATGAAAAAACTAATTTGTCCCACTTCTCACTGGAAAACCTACGAAACTTTTGACATCATAGAAACATGAACCCGACATTTTTTTGCTCAAATAATCGATTATTTATGAGTCATTATACTTTTAGTTCTACATAAATAATTAATTTTTGGGAAACAAAGTTTTTGGCTTTCTCCTACTCCATCTTGATACAAAAAAA